TTCTAACAAAGTGAGATTTAAGCAAAGACCTGAGGAAGTGGGCCTTGCAGATATCTGAGGGAACAGTATTCCTAGCAAAGGAAAGAGAAAGTACAACAGCTTTGAGACAGGTACACGCTCAACATGATTAAGAAACAGTAAGGCTGCCAAGACAGCTAAAAGTAGAATAAGCACAAGGCAGACAGGTAGAACATGAGGGCAAAGAGGTATGGGAGCAAAGAGTGTAGAACCGCCTAGGCCACTATAAGGACTTTAACCTTTCCTCTGAGAGTGATGGGATGCTTTTGAGAGGTTTCAGTAGGGGTATCACATGACTAGATGTTTTCAAAGGATCGGTTTGGTTGCTAAATTGAGAAGGGATCACATGAAGGCAAGTGTAGAAGAAGGGAGACAAGTAAGGAGGCTATCATGATCATCCAAGCAAGAGGTGATGATGCCCTGGGCCAGGGTGGTTTAGGTGGGGGTGCTGAAAGTGGTCAGAATTGGGAGATGTTTTGAAAGTACAGTGAGTAGGATTTGCTAACTGACTGTGTATAGAATATGGGCAAATAGAGAAGTCAAGGATGACTCTAAAATTTTGGTTTTGAGCAACTGGAAGAACTATTGCCAATTACTAAGATGCAAAATTCTGTCACCCTTGCCCTTATCATGCCTATGAGATCTGAGCCCATCCCAAACCCCCAACTCTTACTCTTACCCCTGCCAGGACCCTGCCCTCTACACCAGTGCTATTCAAAGTAACCAGTCCATAAGCTGCTGCCAGTCCACAGCAAGGTAAGGAGTTTGTGCCAGAATGCAAACCAACACACTGTATCTTTCATGGAGGAAATCCTGCTATGAAAAAATATCTGAACTGAACATGTGCTCTGCTCAAATGTCACTTTATTTGTGAATACCCCATACAAAACTCTACCCTTTTTGTTCTGGTTTATTTTTTTTTTTTCATAGCACTTATCAACAACTGACTTATTAAATAGTGATTCATAAAATCTATGATTCAAACTGATTGTAAGATATACTATTATTTTAACTGTCACTAAAAAAGAAACACTGACAAATATAATTCTAAGACATCATCAACTATAAGGTACACCCCAATTTTAGAAACACTAGGGGAAATGCAATTTAGAATCAAGAAATATATTTCCTTGTATATCTTCCCATTCTCAGTCTCCACTAGAATATAAACTTTTTGAAGGCAGCAACTTTGTCTAGTACGTTTATTGCTACAGTATTCCCCATGCCTATAACTGGATATGGCCTGTTATAAAGGAAGTCAATAAGGGTTTATTTAATGAAAGGCGATTGATGTATAAGAGGTGCTCGATAAATAGTAGTGGAAGAAACCAAAGTGTCCATCAATGGGTAAATGAATAAACAAAATGTGATATATTCATACAGAGGAATATTTATTCACTCTTAAAAAGGAAGGAAGTTATGACACATGCTACAACATGAATAAAACTTGTGGACATTATGCTGAGTAAAATAAACCAGACACAAACAGATAAATACTGTATGTGTACACCTATATGAAGTACCTAAGTAGTCATATCATAGAGACAGAAAGTAGAATAGTGGCTGTCAGGGGCTGGGGGACGGAGAAATGAGTTGTTTAATGGGTATAGAGATGCACAACAATGTGACTATACTTAATGCCACTACAGTATACACTTAAAAATGATTAAGATGGTAAAATTTATGTTGGGTATATTTTACAACAGTTAAAAATAAAGACTAAGAATAAAATACTTAATGAATTAATAACTGACCCTATTTATAAAACCATTTTAATCATTCCCAGGACTAAACAAACTCCTAAAAATATAGATTTGATAACTTAAATCAGGTAATTCCACTTTTAAGTCCTCCTCTTAAGATGAGCAAATTTCAGATCCCAAAAGCCTGTGTGAAAACTGAAAGAATTGAAAAGAGAAACATAAATCCGTAACTACAGTGGGAGACTTCAGCACTCCTCTTTCAGTAATCAATAATACAAGACAGAAAATCAGTGTTATGGAGTGAAGTGTGTCTCCCCAGAATTCATATGCGGAAACATTAATTCCCAATGTGATTGTGTTTGGATATAGGGCTTTTAAAAAGGTATTTAAGGTTAAATGAGGTCATAGGTGGGACCCTAATGGAATCTGTCTTATAAGAAGAGGAAGAGACTCCAGGGATACGCACACACAGAGGAAAGACCATGTGAATATGCAGGGAGAAAACAGCTATCTATAACCCAAGGAGAGAGGCCTCAATAAAAAACAAACTTGCCAATACCTTGATTTTGAACT